CAAGGCAAGGAATTCCTTTACAGATAAATCCTCTAAATGGTATCCAATGGTGTGTGTGTGTGTGTGTGTGTGTGTGTGTGTGTGTGTGTGTGTGTATGTGTGTGTAGGGGGGGTATGTATGTGTACATGTATGGGTGAGGACTCATGTGTGTGTAGGTGTTCATGGGTTGGAGGTCAGAGAGTGATGTCAAATGTCTTTTTCAGTTTCTTTCCCCATTATTTTTTGAGACAGAGTCTCTTGCTGATCCTGGAGATTATTGATTTGGTTATATTATTAACTGGCCGAATGAGGTTCGGAGATTCACCTGTCTCTGCCTCCCTAGTGATGGGATTACGAATGTGCCACAGTGTCCATCTTTAACATGGTGCTGGGGATCCGAAGTTGGGTTCAGATTGGGTTGAATGGCAAGCACTTTAGTGACTGAGCTGTTTCTGGGCCCCTGTCCAACCTTCTGATGTTGTGATATGGTATTGTCATCTACAAATGTGTTGGGCTGCATTATTACCTATTATGGGATGCATGCAGTGTGTGGGTTGGACATGGCTGCAAGTAAACTTAATCTTTACTGTGCAAGCACATCACCAGGGGTTCAATTAAGATACTGAATATGATCCACTGAGTTTGGGGTGGATGTGAGATTCTGCAATCCAAAGAGGTCTCTGGGAGTGCCTATGCTACTGGTTAAAAGGACACACTTTGTAAAAGCAAGTCTTATATGTATTGGGAATTTCAAAGGGTGGCTTATGACTAATACCAGTTCTTCTTTGCAGAGTTACAGCGCCATGGCTAACCATATTCTTAACAGCAAGAGCATATCAAATTGGACCTTCATCCAAGACAGAAACAGCAGCTGTGTCTTGCTTCAATCAATCAATTCATTTGCAAGCAAGCTAATTGTGAAGGAACATCCCATCAACATATCACACATCTTCATTCATACCATGGGTACCGTCATGTCCAAGGACAGCCTTGGGAAGAACTTCACTTTCTCAATGCGCATTAATGATACAAGTGATGAAGTCATTGGGAGGGTACTGCTCACAGCTGAAGAGCTTCAGAAGGTTCCTTCTCCTTCCCAGGTCATCAGCATTGCGTTTCCAACCCTTGGGGCCATCCTGGAAGCCAGCCTTTTGGAAAACATGACCGTGAATGGGCTTGTCCTGTCTGTCATTTTGCCTAAGGAGCTTAAAAAAATCTCGCTGATGTTTGAAAAGATCAGCAAGGCAGAAGGGAGGAAGTCCCAGTGCGTGGGCTGGCACTCCCTGGAGAGCAGATGGGACCAGCAAGCTTGTCAGCTGATGCGAGAAAACTCCCAGCAAGCTGTTTGCAGGTGCCGGCCGAGCAAGTCATTCACCTCTTTCTCCATTCTCATGTCACCCGACACCTTGGAGAGCCCGGTTCTAATTTACATCACGTACATAGGCCTGGGCGTTTCCATCTGCAGCCTGATCATCTGCCTGTCCATTGAGGCCTTAGTCTGGAGTCAAGTAACGAAGACAGAGATCTCCTATTTACGTCACCTGTGTATTGCTAACATTGCAGCCACCTTGCTGATGGCTGATGTGTGGTTCATTGTGGCTTCCTTCCTCAGTGGCCCGGTATCCCACCACAACGGATGTGTGGCTGCAACATTTTTTGTTCACTTCTTCTATCTGGCTGTGTTTTTCTGGATGCTTGCCAAGGCCCTCCTGATTCTCTATGGAATTCTGATTGTGTTCCATACACTGCCCAAGTCATTCCTGGTGGCCTCTCTCTTCCTAGTGGGCTATGGGTGCCCTTTGGTGATCGCTGTTATCACATTGGCTGTGACAGAGCCTAGAAAAGGCTACCTCCGGCATGAGGCCTGCTGGCTTAACTGGGACATGACCAAGGCTCTCCTGGCCTTTGTGGTCCCAGCTCTGGCCATCGTAGTTGTAAACCTGGTCACAGTCACGCTGGTTGTCATCAAGACCCAGAGAGCTGCCATCGGCAGTTCCATGTTCCAGGAAGTAAGGGCCATCGTGAGGATCTGTAAGAACATCGCCGTTCTCACACCACTGCTGGGGCTGACCTGGGGATTCGGAATCGCCACAGTCGTCGATGGGCGCTCCCTGGCCTTCCACATTATCTTCTCCTTACTCAATGCCTTACAGGTAAGTCCGGATGCTGTGGTAGAATCTGAAGCGAGACAGCATGTGCAGCTGTGATCACAAAACAGCTGCACATACCGTCTCGCTTCAGGAACATGTGGCACCATGTTTCATGCAGAAGACAATGAAATAGAGATTCATTTTTGTTTCAGAAAGGCCTGGATTTGAATTCTGACTCTTGTATTCACTAAGAATATGTAGCATGATCTTTGCATGTCTTTCTTTTTTTTGCAAGCATGTTTTTCTCATACAAAAGGAGAGTATAATGCCACCACTTTCTAGGGGTGCTCAGAAAATGAAATAAATGATGAATTTGAAAGCAACAAGTTCAAATACTAAAATTAGGTATCAAAGATCATAAATACCTGTTAATAGGCTGAGGGTTTTTTTTTTTTTTAAAGATGTATCTTATGTATCTAGGCTAGCCTGGAACTTACTTAAATTTCTGATCTTCTTGCCTCCATCTCCCAGGTACTGGGATTACAGGTGTGCACCACCGTGCATCATTTATGGGGTCCTGGACCTTGAACTCAGGGCGTCATGCATGCTAGGCAAATACTCTACCAAGTGAGCTGTATCGCTAAGCCCTGAGTTGTTACTATTTAGAAAGCAAGCAATCGCCTCTTCTAAAATTTAGTCTTAGACTGGAGGTGTTACACTTTTTACACTTGTTAGGTTGTCTGCTACTTAGACTTTTTAGATAGCAGTGTGGGCCATGTTATTTGAACAAGGCAAGTTATACAAAGAAGCTTTAAAGGTCATTTCTTCTCACCCTTCTCACACTTGTATGGGTTAAGCAATGTTCACAGTTCCATGTGTATCCTTGGCAAATTCTTTCCGTACGATTATACAAATATATGCTTAATATGAGAATTGAAAACTTACATGTATTCTTATGTACCTGTTAGGCAAGCATGCCTCCAACATTCCATTTTAGATGGTGTTAGAGGTCAAACTCAGGGTTCTGTAGGCTGTGCTTTGCCCACTGAATGACATCATAGCTACGATGCAACTTTCTTTCTCACTTCAAATTGTATCTTAGTCTTCCGCTGGTCTAGTGTATAGGATCTATTCAATGTCTAGGTAATATTTTCTATTTAACATTTTCTTTCTTGATTGAAATTATGTACATTAAATATAAAGATTGCAATGAGTTAAAAAGAAAGCTTCTAGTTTCCTGAAGAAATGAAGCTAAACATTGTTCTGGGGGTGTGTGGAGTAGACAGTGAAAAGTATTTTCAAATATGTGGTAACGGGGACTTCGAATCAAATATCTACTCATTTTTCTCTTTTAAAATGTGGCTATATATGATTCACTTTATGTAGTAAACATTTTGATGCAGTACTGGTGTAACATTTTAAATGTTGGCTAATTTTCTATATTTCTATGAAAAGTGTTACTGCAGTCTAGATTTATAGCAATGCCAGTAATTTTCAATTCATGACACATCTTTACAAAGCTGGTCATTGATGGGACTAAGGTAAGACCCTAGGGTTTCTAACTTTCAGCTCAGTGAATCTTCAGGCTACTCTTCATAAACCCTTAATAAATACCTGTCTCAAGCGAAAGCAATGCCTTTCCTTGTTCCCCTCAGGCTAGCTGACTTGTGACTCTTGTTTTGGATTGGACTGTGAGCACCTGAGTTTGGCTACTGCGGGCATTTTCACTTATAATAGGATCAACTTGAAACTCGGGTTGTTTTCTGTCTTTACTTCTGGCAAGGAGAAGGATGAAGTCATTGGGATGCCAGTACCTATGAGGTAGTGGGCAGCTGCCAACTAGTGTGAGCGAGGGCTAGACACTGGGATAGGAGAAGGCGGAGCTACACTGGCTTGTACTGGCTCATGGAAGTTTTTTTTTTTTTTTTTTTTTTTTGTGAGCTGGTTATAGACACAGCCATCAGTAAAATTCAGTGACACTGATTCAAAGGGATGTAAATTAGATTAAAAACAACAGTCATGTGCTCCCCAAACTTCTTTGTTTGTCTGTTTTGATTCACTCTCTGCCTGTCTCTGTAGCAGGGCATCCTTGGGATGCTCAGTGAGGGAGGAAAGGGAGCAGAGCCTGGGGTCCTCTGAGGTCAGATACAATCAACCGGATGAGAAGCAGCAGCAGAGATGGGCTTAAGGTGAGGGGCAGCTGAGGCCGACTGAGCAAAAGTAAGATTCTGAAACAGGCAGGAAGGCAGAAGATGCAGGAAGCAAGTCCTTCTAAAGCTGTTCTACAGGACATGATCGGGAGCCTAGCCGGCCCCTCCACGGGTGGAGTATTAGTGTGGAGTCAGTGGCTGCCTCGGGTGTCACGGTGGCTGCTGCCTCTTTCCTCTCCCGTGTTCTCTGGGAGCTATTGTGGGCTGCGTGGGATTTTGAGACACCCTCAGCTCCCAAAGCCATTTTAGTAGGAGAATAAAGCATAATGGACTAAAACCTGGGAGAAGACTTCAGGCTTACCTGCTTACATTGTGCTTTGTCCCCCGAAAGAGATGGGGAGAATCTGCTCCTGCTGATTTTTTAAAAAAGATTTATTCTTTCATCTATTCTCTGTTAGATATTGAACTCTGTGAATAAACTTCCTACAAGGTGACATAAACCAATGAAAAGTGATTTTGATGGAATACTTTAATGTTGCATATTTGTGGCTATATAGACTCAGGTTGGGTAATAAAATCATTAGGCTGAGGATATAGTTTAGTGGTAGAGTCCTTGCCTGACATATTCAAAGCCCCTAGTTCAATCCCCAGTATCCCCTCTGCACAAAGAGACCACAAAAAGTTATTAAATATATGTACATCTGAAAATAAAATCAACATACACTGGTTCTGTGCCTATTATTATTATTATTATTTGTTTTTTGAGACATTCTCTATATATAGTCCTAACTATCCTGGAACTCACTATGTAGACTGGCTGGCCTTGAACTCAGAGATATCCACCTGGCTCTGCCTTCTGAGTGCTGGGATAAAAGACCACTTTGCCTGATGCCAATTATTATTTTAAAGGTTGAATATACGAATATATAAAAACAACCCCAGGGAATTAAAACTCCTATGAGGAGAGACAGACTTTTTAGTCCATCAGCCAAAACCAAAACCCAAACAGAAAACCAAACAAAAACAAAACCCCACAAATTTGTGCAGAGGAAATATTTTACAATTGTGGTTTTTAGATGTCTTAGTTGCTGTTCTATTACTGTGAGGAGACACCATGACCAAGACAACTCTTAAAAGAAAGCATTTGCCTGGGGGCTTGGCTATAGTTTAGAGTATTAATCCATGATCATCATGGCAGGAAGCAGACAGGGACGGGGCTGGAGCAGTAGCTGAGAGCTCTGCATCCTGATCTGCAGATTGCAAGAAGAGAGAGAAATTGAGTCTAGTGGGGTGGGCTTTTGAAACCTCCAAGCCCACCCCTAGTGACACAGCTCCTCTAACAAAGCCACACCCCCTAATCCTTTCCAGACAGTTCTACTGAGCATTCAAACCTATAAGCCTTTGGGGGCCATTCCCATTCAAACTTCTACACTAAATTAAAAAAAAAGTTCCTGGGTCAATTTCATTCATATTTTGATTTTGAAATGCACCCCTAGTACCAAAGCAAGCTGGTGTATATCTGTTCCAAAGGTATTTACAAGAATAATACTTTGTAAACTAATGGTTGATGTCAACCATGACATGTTCATGCTAGAGTTAGTGGCAGCTGTAGGCTTAGGAGTGTGAGAGCCAGTAAAATGGCACAGTAGGTGAAAGAGCTTGATATACAAGCCCGACAACCTGAGCTCCATCCTGGAACACATGGAAAAAGCCAGATACATTGGTGAGCATCTGTTACCCAGAACTCCTCCCAGAAGATGGGAAATCAACTGGAGAATTGGCTCATGGATCAGCTAGGATGGAATGTGCAGCATGGCAGAAATAAGAGAGACCCTAACTCTACAGTGTGGACAGCCAAAACTGACCCCTGAAAACAAGTCTCTTCTATGTGTGCTGTGGTACCCATCTACACATCCACCCACAGTTATATATACATAAACTACACACACGTCAATCATAGGTAAAATTAAACAATTGTAAGCATTTCTAAAAGAGTTTACACAAACATACAGTTTGATAAAATCTCCATGCGGACAAGCTTGAGTATTTATGGACTGTCTACATGGGAAAGTGCATTCCAAGACATTAGAGGAAGGAATGAACTGCCTGGCTTCACACTGGTCCCTGTCATCTTCCATCTGTCAGCCGCATTTTCATCAAATTGTGGTAGCAATAGGCTGTTGTTCTCACTGCATCTTTATGGTGGCAGCCACATTTCTCTGACTGGCTCACATTCAGTTGGGAAACCAGAGTGATGTAGCAAGGGGATGCCTACAGGGAAGGTCAGCTTCTCATCCACCACCCAAGTCATTCAGCATCCAAGAAGTGAGTCTAAGGGATGCTGCTGTCTACAGCCTTTTAAAAGTTGTGCTTCTGAACTTCCTTTTCCTCATCAGAAGAATGGGGCTGTTCCTTGAAATTTCCTTCCTCCAGGGAGGTTTTGTGTTGTTACTAGTGGAAATGTGAAAATATGAAAACAAAACTTCAAATGGATTGTAGCTCTGGAAGATGGTCTTTGTTTCACAGACGGGGTCTTCCTCTGCATGGATGATGTGAGGGGTTATGGGCAACCAAATGTGCCTGCTTTTCTTTGTGCTGTGGAAGTGTGTTTTATTAATTACTGCTCAGGGACTGCAAGCCTGTACTCCTATACATCTTTTTTTTCAATCATTATATCCTGAGGGCAACAGCTCCTGAGAAATGAAAAGCATTTTCATGGCACTCAACCTGAAGTTTCTAAGATGTCCCTGCATAAAGCAAGAGTTTGTTCTGTGTCTACAGTGGCCAGAACTCTTGGTTGAATAATTTTTTTAGACAATATTTGTTAAACAAATGAGTAGGGTATGAGTAGGCCTTGTGGCCTTAGACTAGGGAATGAGAAGACTAGATAGAGTTCTTTCCTTATGGCCAGAATAGTAGTGATGTGATGAATGCCACACTTGTTATTCTTACCATTATTGTATTATAAATGGATCTTCTTCCCCCTCCATCTTTCACAGGGCTTCTTCATCCTGGTGTTTGGAACAATCCTGGATCCAAAGGTACTGTATGTGAACCATTCCTGGCTTTCCTGCATTGAGTACTTGAACTGAAATGCTGACTTGTAAAGAACACTTATTGAACTTTGACCTCAGTCATCTGTGCAGTCACCTGAAACAGAGCATCAGTCTTCTTTTTTCAAAAAATTGTTTTGAGATTTTATTTATTTTTATATGGATGAGTGTTTGCCTGAAATGATGTTTGTGTACCAAGTGTTGTAGTGCCTGCAGAGCCCAGAAGGTGTTGGATCACCTGGAACTAGAGTTACAGAAGATTGTGAGCTGCCATATAGGTGCTGGGAATTGAACCCTGGTCCTCTGGAAGAGCAGCCAGTGCTCTTAACTTCTGAGCTGTCTCTTCAGCCCCATCAGGGTTCTTTTAATGCAGGTGATTGTTATCATCATCCTTAAAGCTCTTTTGAGGATACACATTTTATGGACTTTAGCTCTAAACCCCAAAACAATCGAGGCAATTTCTAGTCTCTGTCTTGTAGATGAGAAAAGGGAGACTTGGGATGAAGAAACAGCTTGCTCCAGATCCCACTCTGATTTCTTATGGCAGAGACAGAATTATTTTTATATTAAGAAATTGTTTTCACTCATTTTACACACCAATCAAGGATCCCCCTCTTCCCTCCTCCTGCCTCCCCAGCCTCCCCCTCCCAACCCACCCTCCACTCCACCAGAATGTAAGGCCTCCCCTGGGGAGCACATCCCATAGTGGCAAGTCTAAGCCCTTCCTCCTGCCTCAAGGCTGTGCGAGGTGTCCCACCATAGGCACTGGGCTCCAAAAAGTCCACTCACGCACCAGGGATGGATTCTGATCCTACGGCCAGGGGGCCCCTCAAGCAGATCAAGCTACATAATTGTCTCGCCATGCAAAGGGCCTAGTCCAATCCCATGCAGGCTCCACAGCCAGAAATGGATTTTTTAGCTAAATCTCACAGTGTTATTTTGGGAGGATGCCTCTTGGATTTGAAGGATGTATGTCAGGAATAGCCCCTAGTGCACTGCAGAACTGCTCCATGAGGGACACCAAGGGATTCAGTCCCCAGCACTCACTTGGTAGCTCACATCCCAATCATCCCAGTTACAGGGGATCTGACACCTTCTTCTGACCTCCAGGGGCAGTGCATGCGCATAGTACAGAGACATACATGCATGCAAACAATCCACATCCATAAAGTAGAAAGTTAAAAAAAAAGGCTAAGAAAATAGTGAAAAAGGAGCAACACCAAAACGAAATCGAAAGCACAGCACCCACCTTCACTCTAGGGTATTATATTTTGAAAGTATTGATGTCACTGAAGTTAACATCGAAGGTTTGTGAGAGGAGTTTTAAAAATGTCCTTGGATTGTCTTACCAAGATGCTACGCCAACCTAAAAGTCACTCAGAGGTGAAACAGCAGAGTTATACTTGATATTTCTACGTGTAGAAGGTCTCAGGCTTACAACATTCCAACTCACAACCCTTTTGAGTTTACCATTGTGCGAAATGGTACTCATTCAGCAGAAACACCATTTTTGGACTGAGCTCTTTTCCTGGGCTAGCATCTTGCAGCAGGGTACTCTCTCCCCAGACTGGGCAGGGGCAGTAAGCTACAGCTTTGAGTCAGCCGTGAGCTTGCAATGGTAAACAGCCAACACTCCACGGTGTCACAAAGCTGTGGTGTTCAGTAGGTAGGTACACCAAGTGCAGTTTTGATTTAAGATATTTTCAGCTTACAATCGGCGTGTTTTGATGCACCCCAGCCCCTCCACAAGGAGCATCTATGCTAGCCATGCTTCACAGTGCTTGTGAGTTCCAGATTTTAAAAGAAGAAGCTGTAAAGCAACTTTATAAGTGAAAACATGCAGGAAGCGTTTGCCACACCCCACAGTCATAATTGCCAGGGTTGTGCGTCTGATAACTGTGACACCATAACAGCACAACAAACAACAGCACCGTTGCTCTGTGTGGCACAGTTAGATACAAAGAATTCCAAGCTATGCAGTCTCTGTCAAGGTCAGAATCTCTTCATTAGAATTAAAATGTAAAAGACAAATGCAGGAAATGTCACGGGACCAGACATGATGGATAGATGCAAAGGAATATACATAAGGAGTCCTGAAAATCCTAACATCAGTTGAAAACTGAGCATGTCTTCCAACATGCACTTACATTTAAAGTGAATACTATGCACATTATGAAATTCAAGATTTTAAAAAGGATCAGAGCAGGAAATGTTAATAGAAGTGCCAGCCTGGCTTTGAAGATCCCAGTGGGTGCCAGGAGCACCTCCCTCCCTTACATACTACAGCAAGGACTTTGCATCTTCAGGGAGGGATGAAGGCTCCCTGAGCTGGAGGGCTTTCACCGCCATTAGTTTGGAGACAACGTATGCAGGGCCTTGGAAAGAAGCATTTTCCTTGGCAGAAGGGAGAAAGGAAAAGAAACAGAAGAGGGCTGGGGAGGGAGTCAGGACGGGCTACAGTGGATGGACATGAATCCCAGGCCTGGATATTTATCTGTGTGGTGGACTGAGTTTAGATGTTATTTAATCTTGGAGTGTCAGGGGACAATCATATCTGCCTTTCAGGATTATTTTCTTTATAGAATGGGATGACAGATAAGAAAGACACTGTAAACATAAAAATTATCACCACCACCATCATCATCATCATAATCATTTCCTTAGTTCTGGACCCAGTGTTACCTTGCATCTCCTTTATAGAAGGTTTGAGTAATTTCAAATGAGATGTGATGGACTGCTTTAATGGTTCAAAAAATAATGCCAAAGCTGTAATTGGAATCCACGAGCTTGTGCAAGCTTGCTTCTTAGCCACTGGGTCCGTCCATGTTTAAGATTGCAGACACATGTGTGCTCCAGAAGCTGCACCCCCTCTGGACCTCCTCATCTCCCTGATTTTCTCCAGCTCAGTGCACCATGTGATGAATCCTGCCAAAAGGACCCAGCTGGCCACTGGTTCCCTTGCCACAGTATTTGCCACATCCAAGCATATTGTTAACTTACAAATGTTTAGTTATTAACCCATTTTGTTTAATTTCCAGATAAGAGAAGCCTTAAAGAGTCGAGTAGCATCTGCCAAATGGATCTCCAGAGTATCAGAGGTGAACGCTTTGTTTTTTGTTTCTTTTCATTTGACAAGGTAGCAGTGTAAAACCTTTTGGTGTGGATTTTTCCTGGGTTCAGAATCATTATAGAATATGATGTCCAAATATGAAGATGAATGTTTAAATGTATAACGAGGGGGGTGACAAGGTATGTCATCGGTAGGTATGAAATAGGAAGTGGGTGACTAGAAGGAGAAATGAAACAGGAAACCATGAAATAGGAAGTGGATGATCAGAAGGCGAAGGGGAAGGAGATGAGCGATCTCAGGCTCCCAGGACAGTCTGTTGGTCCCCTCTGACATTGTTCAGTTGACCACACACAAAGTGTGAGAATTCCAGGGAAGCACACACTGAAACCCTATACAAAGGACTTCCCAGGAGCTTTATTATCAAGGAAGCAGTTTCCATGGTTACCAGAGTGGTATAGGTACAGGGCCAGTTTAGGGATGTGGCGGAGGTGCTCCAGTCATGGTGTGGGGACTGGACTGTGATGTGCCTTTACCTTATCCTCTCTTTCTATAATTTACAAACTTCATGGTGATGCAAGACTGTTGTGAGTGAGGGAAGAACTGGAAATGTTTACACGTCAGCAAAAGGGACTCAGGGTTAACCTAAGGAATGTACCCAACCTCAGAAGGTGATCTATGGCTTTGATTCATCACCTGCCACTCCTTGGCCTTGTAGAGCTGTGTGCCTGGGCACCCATGGCTGAGTGCATCACTTTTCATTTCTATATCTGTTTTCCCACCCCATTTCCTCCTGCTTATCTCCACCTCCCCTTTCTTTTCCTACCCTCTTCCTCTTTACACGTAGCCAAGCTTTGGTCACTTTCTTAGTCCTTCCCAGGAGATTACTGACTTCTCTATATTCTCTCCCATCTTAAAAAAAAGGGGGCAAATTTACTGAGAATAGACATTTCCTCCAACAAGGCTATACCTCCTAATCCTCTCAAATAGTGCCACTCTGTGGTGACCAAGTATTCAACTCTGTGAGCCTACAGGGGCCATTCTCATTCACACCACTACAGGCTCTCTTCTCTGACTTTGCCTGATTATTTCAACTCTCTTCAAAGTAGTGGCCTTGGTCCTTTCCATGTGTGGTTTTAGAATGATCTATTCAGGCCACCATAGAGAAATTCTGGCCTTTGGTGCCTAAGAAAAAGTCATTTTTCTCCACCTCTCTTGATTTACATAAGTCAGAAAGACACCTAGCCCTTCTTTATTGTTAATGGTCCAAGTCAGTGGTTTTTGATGTTGGCTGTATCTTAGAAACATCTTGGAAGCTTAAAATAACAACAAAAACAAACAAACAAACAAACAAACAAACAAACAAAAAACCCACACCAAACCACAATCCAGGCCTCACCCAGAAATTAGACCAGAAACTCTCGAGGCTTGAGCCTAAGCACTTATTTTAAGCTCTGCAGTGATTCTGCCCTGTGGCCAGGGTTAAGAGCCTCTGGTCTAAGTACAACATATATTTACCCTTCATTTGGCATTTCTTCCTTCAGTCTGCTCAGCAGCTCTAGGCCATTGCCCATCATTAGCCTTAACACCCTCACCAGAGTACAGAAGTGGAGTTACCATCCATTTGTCTGTTCTGCTTTGAGGGCCTCTAATCCCTGGTAGCAATCTTTTACAGTGTAGATTTAACTCACCTTTCATGGTACCCATCTGGACAAGGCCAGTCCCAGTTCTCCAACACCCAAGACAATATACATTCTTGTGTTCATTTTGTAGCTGACAAGATGAGCTAGCCTGTGCTCAGGTAGCCACAGATCTGGCAATGTGTAAATGTCTTGACTCTTTAGACAACACATGTCTAAAACATACCCAAAAGATCCTTTGGCACATGAGCATCACAAAGGTGCAGGGGGGACTTTAATGTTGAGGATCTGAGTAGAACAGCTGTTCAGAAGCACAGGACACCAGGCTCCTTTCCTCTCTCCACCCTCTCTCCCCTCTCCTCTCCCTTCCCACCCCTCTCCTCCTCTCCTCTACACTCCCTTCCCCTAGGAAAGAGTGCTCTCTTTTCTTTCCTCTCCTCCTCGTCCTTCTTTGGAATTCTCTAGGGCCAGGTTATGGTAGAGAAGGACCCCCTAGACAAGCCCATCACTATGTTGTTAGTTTTCATATAAACAGGAAAGGAGGAGGTGGTGTGACAGGGTAAAATAGCTTCCCATGCCCCAGATTCTCTGGCCACCCAGAATCACCGTGATCATTGCAGACTGACTGGTGATGATAAATGCAATCATATTTTGTCTTCAACAGGACCTCTCTTCTGAATTCTCTTGCCACCCTACCAAAGGGCCAAGCTAACCAACCAGGATACATCCCTAACACGGGAGGTGAGTATGCAGTAAAAGAGTCGCCAAGTGAGCTTTGAGCTTATGGCATTTCTTTGATTGTCATTAGAAATAAATTCTCTTCTTCTTGTCTTGGTAAGGCACATTCTTGGGTTGCTAAAATTTTTGTCCCATAAAACAATAAGGCATATTGTGAGAAGGCTTATGACCCGGCCTGGGTGTGCTTAAGGGGGCTGAGGAGGGATCTTCTCTCTTCCTGGGTCCCTCTGCCCCATCTCTACTTCTGTTTGCTAATCTCAGGACATCTTGCATCAGCAACGTCGCCAAATCTCCTACTTTTCCTTTCCCTAGTCTTAAAAGGTCAAGAAATTATGACTGACAATATGGGGGAGAGGCCTCAGGGTGAGGACATAGAAGCTGGACAGAGTCATAGGGAACTAGATTTAGAGGAATAAGTTGTAGAGAAATTAATTTAGAGCCATATAGAGGGACATAGTAACTCAGGATTGGAAGAGAGCCAACCAGCTACAGAGTGCTCTAGAACAACAGGGTGGAAAACAGAGACAAACATACAAACATACCGAAGCACCCACATCCCTGGGAAGACTCACAGAGATGGGAAGTATATGTGAGAGGTATATGAGGAACTCAGAGAAATGCAGAATGACGCAGAAAGGATGATGTACACACAGACCAGGACTCACACAGAGTGCAGAGAAACAGAGAGATGTAGAGAGAGGAACTGTGGTATGTAAAGTGAGTCTCCCATCCCCTGCTTCAACACATCCAGGCTCCAGCAGCCTTTGCGGCTTTGACCATAGCCCAAGACCTTGTAGAAAGACATGGTTCTTTTCTGAGAGGAGTTATACTTCAAAGGAAATGGGTTCCGTTGTGTTTAACACATGCATCTGCAATCCCAGCACCTGGGAGGGGGAGGCAGGAGGATCACGACTGTGACATCATCCTCAGTGACATAAAAGGTTTGAGGCTAACCTGTGCTAACTGAGATCTTGCCTCACCCCATTCCTGAAATGAAGTGGTTCATGTTAGAGAAAGGCAAGGCTTGAAACTCAGCTCCTGCGGGGAATAGAACAAGACAATTCCCTGCGTTCCAAAGAGCCTTATGGGAAGAGACTGTGCGCTGGGCAGCTGCACTCTACCAAAGGGGCTTGTACAGAGCAGACTCAGCGTGCAAGTGTGAAGCATCCGTGTCTTGCTACTTGTATGTTTAAGCTGTGATTTTTCTGTTTTTGACAAGGTTGCTCATTCCTGGAATGGCAGTGCCTGAGGAAGCATGCACTTAACTCCTGTCCTCTTGCCACTGGGTACTTTGAAGGAAGCCTCCCACACTTCAGAGCTGATGGAGGAGGGGGCGCCATGTGGAAAGCATGGAGGCCCTTTTATCGAAGCTGTTCCGTGCTGCTTCTAAACACGTCTTGCCCACCAACTGCAAACCTGTATACAACACACTAAGCATCTGCAAGGGACAAGAAGACAAAGTGGGTCACAGCGACAGGGTCTCACTGGTGCCTCCACCTCCACACTGCTGGGTCATAAATTATCATCAGGGAGAGAGCTCAGCTTGTCTCAGCAAAGGTGGCCCAGGATACAACGTGTTGGATTCTACATGAGCACCCTGAAGAATAGTCTCCAACAGTTGGACTGACTCTAAGTGACGCACAGCTGGCTCTCTGTATAGAAGGAAGGCTTCTGCCAGTATATTTTACTTTTTCAAGGTCAAATTGATTAGATGGCCAAGCCTGGCTTGGACGTGTAATGCAACTGCTTTGATAGTGAACCAAGTGAAAAGTATAGAGTGTTTGAATCGGACCTGATGCCTGTTTTAAGATGAGGTGGAAGCCTGGACCTGTAAGTCATGGCTCTGCTAGCCTGGGCCAACTCTGTTGGCTTGCAGAGCTCCACTTTCTCTTCCAGAGCAGGGGCCTCTGAGGGGCTTTCTGCTTGCACCTTCAGACAAGAGAGGCTGCTGAAACCTGGATGAGGGAGGGGACATAGATTTCAAGCCCTGTGCTGTTCATTTCCCTAGCTGTATGTAAACACATTCAACATTCAAAGCAGATGTCACCTGACAGAGAACAAGACTGGGCAGTAGAAGGCCTCTCTGAAGCAGGTCCACAGGTGACTGCCCCCGAAGAAAAGCAGGGGTTATAGACAAAGGGATACAGGCAGATGCCCAAGCCGTTGTCCTCTCTAGAGGCCAGTATTCTTGATGTTCTACCCAAGGTGGGAGGCTGGGCATGATGGGCACTGCTGGAACCCCAGCACTTGGGAGTCAGAGACACAGAGAGATGCTCTGAGTTGGAGGCCACTTTGGTTTACATGGTGAGTTCTCAATGGACCGACGCTCTTCTAATAAAACAAACACCCCTCCCCCCAAATAAAAACCAAACCACAGCAAAAACCCCAGTTAAAACCCCAACAAAACACACACAGGCAAGTGAGGCTCACTTTGCGGGTGAGTAGCTCTCTTTCTCCTTTGTGTGTGTGTGTGAGAACGTGTGTGCTGTTTGTGTGTGGGCGGTGTCTGCACACATGTGCGGGTGTGCCCTAGAAGTTCAGGAGAGGATGTCTGCTGTCCTGCTCAGTGACTCTCTGCCTTATTTCTTTGAGATAGGGTCTCTCACTGAACCTGGAGCTAGACTCCAGCCAGCAAGCCTCAGTGACCTCCCCTTACCTGCCACCCACAGATTACAGGTGGGCACGGCTATATCAGTGTTTTAGTGTGGAGTTGGGGGATCTGAAGTAAAGTTCTCATGCTCGTACAATAGGGACTTTTAGCAGTTAGCCCTCTCCCCAGCCTACCCACATGCACTTAACACAAATAAAAAAGAAATACTTCCTTTAAGTAGGGAAGCCTGAGAGGGCACAGTTACCAGGAAGATCAATTAGAAGATGGGAAAGATGTACCGGCTAGAAAAAGTCATCTTTCCAGTGCTGTGCTTATGTTGGGGCATGGCACCCTTTTCATGTATCAGAAGTGGTCTAGTTAGTGACACTTCAGTGTATCCCTGGAGCTCTTTAAATGAAGAAGATGGGGTAGACGACACAGTGCTGGGTTCCTCAGTGCAGATATGGCAGCATCATGAGAACTATCACTTGCTGGCGGTCAATGTAATGAAGTCAAGGTGGAGTCTCATGTAGCTAATGGGTAGAAGAAGTCTGATGTGCACTCAGCTTGGCAAAGGCTAAGCGTTGTTCCATGTGGAGATGAGAACCCTGAGCACAAGGAGAGAGGGAGGGAATCATCTTTTGTTTGTATTATGTGTTGAGCAGGTGTGTCGGGCTTGAAAGCACTCAGCTCAGGGGCACTCACTCTGTGACCGGAGGGTGAAATCACTAACTAAGCAAGGCCTGTGGATGCTAAGAGGACCCCTTCCCCTGGCATTTCTAGGGAATCTCTTGAAGAACTCTAGCCTTCTCTCCCATAGTCCAAAATCCACTTCGGCATCTTGAAAGAGGTCAGGGGACTACACAGACTAAGGTGACTTGTGTGACCCTCAGTAGAGACACTTGCAGTATGCTTCTCACATCTCACAAAGATGTGGTAAGGTCAGATGACTCAAGAAGACACTGTTCTGAAGCAGCTTTGTGACTTGAATGGACATATTACACGGCCCTCCTTGGAAAATCACTTAAATTCTTTAGAATCTGGTTTCCTCATTTGTGAGTGTGGGGCTAGTGAGTCTACCTCCTAGGATTATTGTAATGATTCAAAACAGTAAAGTATTTATGACAGTAATTGGAAATAATAACTGCTCATTAAAATGTTCATTTCTTTTATTAGTGTGCCTGTGAATACATGCACATACAGATATACACACATACACAAATAAACACACAGCCATGGCCTTTGGCATGAGTTTGAATGAAGATATCCTCATGGGAACAAGTTAATTGACTTCTAAATAAAACAATGAAGCATTTGATTTTGTCTGTGTAGCATTGGGGTTACACAGAGCTAGCCAGTCAAACCCACTGGGGCTCATGGAATGAGCCTGCTATCCAGTGTTGCCGGATCATAATGCATAGTTCCTTGGGGCTACCATGGGGCCCCCCTCATTCTGTGGTGTTTCCAAGGCTGGATTTCCTTTCTGCTGTCTCTGAGGGGTCTTTCCTGACTGCTCCCTGATGTACTTTCCTATAGCATTTACAATCTGTGCTCTTCACTTCCCAGGAATAGTTACTGTGCTATATAGTGTGTTTCATTTGCTTTTTTTTCTTTCTATATGTTTTCTTTTCCAGATAAGGTTGTGAATCTTTAGGAAGAGGCTGGCTTCGTATTTGATAACCACTTTGTAACTTTCTTTTGCGTGCTGATAGGGCAACCAAGTGTCTTACAACAGAGTGTATTCGGTAAATATGTTTGTTCAATAAAGTCCTTTGATTACACAACCACTTGAGACTGTTTTTTTTCCCCTGAATCACAAATGGCCCAGTACTTAATGACCTGCATAGAACTGACCCATTTCTACAAATGTTGCTTCCTTGACCTGCATTGCTCTGAGTTGTGTAACACAACTGCTTCTCACTATTACTCTTTTTTGTCATCTCTCCCCCACCCATAACTTCTAAGTGAGGAATTATGGTACTTGGGGAAAGAAGGCTTATAAGCAGGAGACACCAGAATTAGGATATGTGGGACTCTGGTGGTGAGGACACTAATCAAGACTGGGTAGTCGGTTGGAAGCTGGGTCAGGTGATGCTTTCTCCAGGTGGAGCCTATGCCTTCTGCCTCTGCATTATCCGTTGGCATGGAGAGGCTGCAAGGAACTTATCGTATTCCGTAGAAATAAAAGAACTAGTAAGTAGGGCTGGCAAGATGACTCAGTGGGTAAAGGCACCTGCCACCAAGCCCGATGACCTGAGTTTGATTCCTGGGCCTCATGATTCCTGCAAGTTGTCCTCTGTCTTGCACATGTGCCATGGCACCCATGCATGCAGGTGCACGTGCACACACACACACACACACACACACACACACACACACACACAGATAAATAAACTAAAAAAGAAAGGAAGAACCATAAATCTCTCTGGCGCCAAGGTAGAGACTAGCTCATAATTTGCCTGCCACTTTCTCGGTCAGTTTTCTCCAAATTCATAGGTACAGGTAAAATACAATCATAGCCTCTTAAAACCATAAACAATAGTGGCAGAACCTTGCATGTTGTCACCCTTGTTCTAATTCTACCAGGGAAGACGCAACACAGACTCTCATGTGATCATCTGAGATAAAGATGAAGACGCGAAGGACAAACAAGTGACTCACTTGAATGGACTCGCTTCAGACAAGAGAAACCTGTAATTTCTCTTAGGCGTGCTTGACAGACCCACTGTGGGGTGAATCATAGCCTCACACAAGCCTTGAGGCTGTGGGCCGCTCTGCAGTGGCCAGATTGGCTTCTCATTACCGGGCAGTTGCTTCTCACTCGGGCCTCCAGGACTGCCTTTTCAAAAGATGGAGATGGGTCACCGTCACTGAAGGGGGCTGGAGAGTTTCGGTGTGGACCCGTGATGGTGGGGCACCATGGTAGGCAGTTCAGTGCTGACTTTCCTGCCAGGTGACTGCCGGTCTCTGAGCTGCTAAGACCTACTTCCTGAGTGCGTGAGTACATGGCCCATACTGTTACCTCTTTCCTAGTAAAGAGCTGATTCTTTCCTGCACCTGTTCCAGAATGAGGGAAATGGGTCATTTGGGATGGTGTTTCCGGGAACGCTTGATTCTGCAGCGTCCCCTCCTTAATGCGGTTTCGAATTTGGCTAGCTCAAAGTTGGAGTGTCTGTGTTATATTTCTTTTTCTGCATGGAGTCATCTGTCAGGCTCGAATTGCTCATTCCTTGGAGTGAAAATGCAAAGTGCCTTGCCAGGCAATTAGCCTCATTGCCTCTCCACTGTCTCCATGCCAGAGAAATTTCAACTCCCTTTAGATGGAATGCAAGGCTTTAAAATTCTAGTTTCTTCTTTTCATGAACCCGGCAAATTGTCTTTATGGCAATGTAAAGGAAAGCACGACTCAAAGTGCCTGCTGGGAACCCTTCCTACGGCGCCCCCCTCGTCTGAGTGGTCAGCATGGGTTGCCCGAAGGCCTGTGCTTTGGACTCAGAGGGAAACTGCAGAAGCTTTGGGTTCTTCCTTTATTGGGTGTTGTGTTGTTGGCTACATGATTACTGTCAGCACTCCGGTGAGCATCCTTCATAGAACAGAGAAATCGCCAGCACCAATAATTACTTTATAATTATTTAAGTATTGAGAGATAGTTGGTGAGATGAAGATGCCTTCCAGCTCTGAAACTGTGTGATTCTTGAGAGCTGTCAGCATTTGAATCCAGATACAAAGCGGTGGATGGAAACCATCTAAAATAGCCAGGAAGAGATGGGTCTGATTTTATGTCTCGTAGTAGGTCTCTGCCACCAAGGCTCTGTCCCTCACCTATGGTGAAAGGGAACCAGTAAAAGCACGTCGGTAGATTCTGTTATTGAGGTCAAGATGGAAACAAGTCATCTAGCCATCTGATGTTATAATCAAAATTCTAATTATACAACAAGAGTAGCAATATGTAGTTATGGAATTAGGCTTAGGGGAACAACACACACATACACACACACACACACCCCTCTCACTCTTCAGTTCCTTATCCTCCAGTTAACCTTTGTGAATTAGTCATTCCCATAAGACAGTGGGATTTGTCAAGGAGTATGAAGCCAGTTGCTGCCTACAAGGTTAATAGACAAGTGAGAATGCCCCCCCCCGCCCCCCTGCCCCATGCCCATCACTGGAGGGGAGATCATCAAGAACTTTGAGAGCTCACATGCCAATCATCCTTAACCACTGTCTGCTTTATGGTTCCTGGCCTGACCTTTTCTCATTTTCTTTGGGATCCCGATGCCAGCCCTTTCCGGGCGTGTTGAGACTGGTGCGGAGTACCTCGGCATGCATGATTCATCCTACAGCTTCATCTAGTGAGTGACAGGAGTGAGTTCCAGGACCCAGAAAGACTGGTTATCACGTTGAATTACAAACTCACTCAGAAACTCAGTTCTGTGTACAGGAAAGGGGAACAAATAGGAGATGGTGTTCAGGAACAGACAGTTCTTCTGATCTGTCCAGAGGGGCAGTGTTTTATGACTTAAAATGGAGATACAGCACAGAGAGACACATGCACAGTCACCACCACTGTGTCCTCATTCTGCCTCGCTTCCTTCCCCTCCCCTCCCCTCTCTCTCCCTTTTCTTCTTCTCTTTCCTTCATTCACTCCTTTCCCTTCCTTCCTTCCTCCTTCCCTCCCTCCATATCTCTTCCTACATGAAACTTCACAAACATTTTTTTTTTTTTTAAAATCAGGGCCCAGATGGTGCAACAAAATGGAGGCCTGATGAGAGGGAGAACATTTCTACCAAATTCAGCAGGTTCTAAAAACTGTCGGGAGTTTCATATTCCAGGGCCTCCTGTGTCTGTGTGCTCCATACCCACATCTTGAATTGCAGATGAAAAGCGGCAGGGAAGGTCCTGTGTGGGAACTGAGTACGTGCAGACCTGTCTGTCACTATTATTTCCTAAACAACTCGGAATGACAACTATGCACAGAGCCTTTGAGACAGTGTGCAGGAGAGGCCTTGTGCAAACGCTTGCACCATTTTTCTGGAGAAGACCTGAACATGTAGGGATTTGGGTATCTGAAGGAGGCTACTGAGGGACATCTGTGTGCTCATCTGCTTCTTGAGGGCAGAAGAGTTTCCTCATGATCTTAGAGCCAAACCTTCAGGTGGTGGGCAAGGATCTTCACTCACTCATTCAATCTGCAGGCTCGTTCCGTTCACTCACTCATTTGTTCAACAAGTGTTTCCCACTCTGAGTGGGTGCTGAGTGGGCTGAGGATGGAGAAAGGGCAGGTGTCCACCTCCTGACTAACAGGACTCCCCCCCCCACACCACCTTTTTAGTTGTGGCCTGCTTTCTCTTGGGTTCACTTGACCCACTGTGATTAGAACTCTTCCATAAAGGTTGTGAGATGTTCAGGACAGTAAACAGGTTGGGGGCGGGGTGTTAGTTACTTAATACCCCACTCTGGGCTGGCTAGTGGGTTTAGTTGCATTTTCTCCTTAAGCCTTTGAGGCCAACCCATGTTATTTTCTTTCTGTAATCACCAGGTTACAACAGGGAGCCTGGCTGTATTTGACAGCTTGAAATTGCTGTTTATTATCATGTGAGAAGTGAAGGTGGATGGTGGCGGGCAATTCACGCTTTTGTCAGGGTGTGCAGAGAGACACGCTGCTCTGGAGGGAAGGAGGGACCTGGACTGTGTGTGCTTCAGCTACTTTTATAGGTCCTGAGAAACTGCCACGATAGGTGGCTTGCATGCTTTTATCGCTCAAATTAGTACCTTGTGCTAGTCACTCCGGGAATAAGGTGTGGATCTGCCCCCACTGGGGGTCTAGTATAGAAACCAGAGAGAAGTTCTTCGCAAATGACAAGCGGCTCGCTATTTACGTCATTGCTGCCGCGGATGACCTCAAACTAGAGTTCAGTGGCATTTGGTTTACTCCTCAATTTTCATTTCCGATTCTGTCTTTCTTCCTTGAGTTTTTCCAGAGCTTTGGTGTGAGAGACGCAAGTGCCTCCCATGAACATACTGCCATAGGGATGGGCATTGGCTAGATGACCCACAAATATACCTGGGGTCCAAACCCAGATATCTGAGTGTGTTTTCCTCTGAGACAGCGTGTTTTTCACAGGATAGCAGCTTTATATGACTCAAGGCATTTAAAAAGATTTACCTTTGTTTTTAATTATGTATAGGCTTGTGCGTGAGTATGTATACACAAACATGGGTGTGCACAGTGGCAGGTCTCTTAGAACTGGAGTTACAGGTAGTTGTGAATCACCTGACCTGAATACTGGGTGCTGAACCCAGGTTCTAGGGTCTCTTTCTCTTGAGCCATGTCAACAGTTCCTCTGGGTGTTTTTAAAGAGTGTGCATGCATGCTTTGCTTCCACATATGTCTGTGCCATCATGGATGTGAAGTATCTGCAGAGACTGGAAGAGGGTCCCTCGGATCTGAGCTACAGAAGGTTGTGAGCTGCCATGTGGGTGCTGGGAATTGAACCTGGATCTTGTGAAAGAACAGCCAGTGCTTTTAACCTCTGAGCCATCTAGCCAACCTCGTCTCAGCGCCCGAAGCATTTTTTAATGCTGATGAAATTTTGGTAAAATCTGGATGAAACAATACTGTTACTGAAATAATTTCAGTGCCGTGTGCACGTGTGTGCATGTGTGTGCGTGTGTGTGTGTGTGTGTGTGTGTGTGTGTGTGTGTGTGTGTGTATACTTGTTGGGGTCAAGAGAGAGTCCAGTGTAGTATATATTGTTTCCTAGGTTGAGTTGATAGTGGAACACCT